GGCCGGTGCAGGCCGGGCAGCGCGGCCGGGGCTCTGGGATCGCCGGAGGCTCAGCCCTCGGCCTCGGCGCCAGCAGGAACGCGGGCCCCGGTTGAGGAAGGGCCACTTGCTCCAGCAGCCAGGCAGGGGGACAGAAAAAAGCTGATCAGGGACGCGACGCCGGGTGAGGGACTGGGCGCCACGGCACCTACCGTTCTCGGCGTCCGCACGGCCCAGGGTACCGTGGCCGCAGCTCACCCTAAGGCTCGGCTCACGCGCTCCAGCACCGCCCAACCGGAAGCGGCCTCTTGCCCCGCCCCCATCCGCCTGGCCGGCGGCCTCCCGACCAATCATCAACCATCCCGCCGCTGATGCGGAGCTTTTCCTGGCAGCCATTGGTCCTTCAGTCGCGTAGCCGGGATAGGCTGGAAAGCGCCACGTCCCCGGGAGCGCGCTAAGCTGCGTGGACCGGATTCCCGCCCAACTCTGGTCCCCGGGCCTGTGCCGAGGGCCAGCCTCGGCCCCCTGCTCCACCGGAGTGTGGGAGCGGCAGTCCGATCGCCACGTCCTCGTTCACAGCGCGTGACTCTGCCTATACAGGGCTTCTCGGATTACTCCGCTGGACATCTTCATCTCCTCAAATCCAACTGTGTCCGTCACTGCCTATAGTGAACCATCCGAACTCGTCCCCTTAAACGCTGCCGCCCTGATGTGCTATCTGCGGGAGCCTCTCTACTGTAGCTACGGTGCATCTTTCAGCGTCATCTCCCACCACGCCCCTCACATATCTTGTGCTTGGCCACCATCGCCTCCGCATTCCCCACCAGCCTGTCCTTTCACATCTCCATGGGCTTGGTTCACCAAGTGGTCTCTGCCTGGAATAAGTGCTTTCCTAACTTTATGTTTAGTGAAGGCCAACAGAAGTCCCAGTTCGGGCCGGGCTTGGTGGCGGACTCCTGTCTTCCCAGCACTTAGGAGGCTGAGGCAGGAAGATCGCTGCAGGTTCAAGGCCAGCCTGGGCTACATAGTGAGTTCAAAGGCATTTTGGACTAAATAGTGAGACTCTGTCTCAATGGCAACAATTTAAAAAACTCGCAGTTGGATACTAGCTCTAGAAGCTTTTACTGACCCCCAAAAAGCATAATACTTCCCTTATTTGCCTTCATAGCACTTTGTGTCTTCAGTACCCTGCCAAGCCTTGCTTTATAACTGCTTATCCATCCATTCCTTTCCACACTAAATTTCAGAGTTAGGCTCTGTCTGTTTGTATCTGTACCACTGAGCTTGCTGCCCAGGTCAAAGTAAATGCTTAATAATGGGTGAAATGCGTTGCATGTCCCTGGTTTAAGAGAAACTCAGGAAATGATTCACCTATGCATTTTAGTGTCATGCAATTAAAATAACTATTCAATCAGAACTACTATGTTTAGGCCGGAGGTACAGCTCAGTGGTGTAAGTGCCTGCCTGGCAAGTGCAAGGTCCTGAGTTCAATTCCTGGTACCAAAAAAGAAAAAAAATTACTATGTTTCAACACACATGAAATATATAAACCTGAGTTCTTAGCAACTAAGGCTATATTTCAAGATCCAAGTACCAAGTCCATGAGAGCGTTAAATACAAAGCAAGTTAGTTTACTTTTTTTTTTCGTCTTTCTGAGACAGGATTTTGCTATGCAGTTCAGGCTGGACTTGACCTCACTTTGTAGCCCAGGCTGGTCTTGAACTCGCGACGATCTTCCTGCCTCAGTCTCCCGAGTGCTGGGATTGCAGGCATGTGCCACCAAAGTTTGTTTACTTTTAAGTGCCAAGATGAAAGAATGCTTTGGGCATGCAGAAGACAAAGGAGTGTCAGCAGCCATTGGTGGTAGCCAAGAAAGGGCTTCACAGGAAGAATTAACTTAGGCTGCACTAAGCAAGTCCCATTTTAGCTGAAAAGCAGGAACAAAGGCAAGTGGAAAGCAGAGCAGGACATAAATGTTCAGGTCAGGTAGGCACGAGGGAAGTCAAAAAAGCAAGGGCAGCAGGGAACGCATAGGTAGCACATTTGGATTCAGAAAGGAAGACCTTGACCATCTAAGAGGCCTGAGCAGAAAAGACTGGGAATTGTGAGTCTCCCTTGGAAGGTTTTTAAGCTTGTGGCTGTGAAGCAGTGGCGGTGGTGGTGGGGGTGGTGGGGGTGGTGGTGATGTTGAAAATGGTTCTTTCAGGAAGGCACATCTTCTAATAAAGATTAACTACACAGGGGGACTGTAGCATGAGGTCTTATTTTAAAACTTTTTAAAGTGCCTCCTTGAAATCAGGCACTGTGCTAGGTGCCAGTGAGCCTGTAAATGTGGAGGGCATCATCCTTGCCCTGAAGGAACTGACGAATATTAGGAGAGCCACCGTCCTGGAAGTGTCTTAGGAAAGGCTGGACAGGTAGAGAGACTGCTCGAGATAGGGCCCTCTAGCCCTAAGGTTCCTAATAGATAAGGGCCTGGCCTTGTAGGGCACCAGAAATGCAAATGAGACCTCATCTGCAAGAGGTTCTAAAGCAGAAATACAATCTGTATGTCTCAGTTAAAACAACAAAACATAAACTGCATGTGGTGGTACACACCTATAATCCTAGCACCCTGGAGGCAGAGGCACAAGGATTGCAAATTCAGACCCAGCCTAAGCAATTTAATAATGTATAGAGACCCTTTCTCAAAATAAAAAATAAAAAAGGGTTGGGGATGTGGCTCAGTATGAGGGCCCTGAGTTCAATACCTACTACTGGAAAATAAGAATCACAAAACTGGTCATCATGGACTAGAGACTTGAGAGAGAAAGTGGGGAATAGCCACTTAAGAGAGTGAAGAGGGTGGGGGATATAGCTCAGCGGCACAAACACCGGCCTGAGTTTGATTCCTGGTACCAAAAAAAAAAAAAAAAAGAGTGAACAAACAAGGGGGATTTAGAGTGATTTCCAGACAATACTGAGCAGCTAAGGCTTATAATCATGACTCTGAGGTGTACTGGTTATGTATGTCATGTAGCTGTCTACAGGCAAATTCAGCAGCATGGTACAGGCATGGAGCTGGTGGACAGCCGGATTTAGCCAAGTGAATAGAAGAAAGTGAAAGAGACACAAAGATGTTAAAGGTACACTTCTTTTTTGTTGTTGTTTGTCTTACTTTTATTTTATTATGTCTTTTTTGAGATAGGGTCTCCCTATGCAGTTCAGGCTGACCTTGAGTTCAATTTGTATCCCAGGCTGGTCTCGAACTTGCAAGGATCCTCCTGCCTCAGCTTCTCGAGTGCTGGGATTACAGGCATGCACCACTATGCCCGGCTGTTTTTTGCTTTTGAGATAGGGCCTTCCTATATAGTTCAGGCTGGCCTCAAACTCACAGCAATCCTCCTACTTCAGCCTCCTGAGTGCTGGGACTACAGGCATGCACAACCATGCCTGGCTTGCACTACCATTCCTGGCTTGCAGAATTTAAGCAGAGATAGTCAATGGACCATCTAACAGACATCTCTTAGTGACCCTCTTGATCTGTAATTTAAGAGCCTCTAGTTTGGGGCTGGGGATTTGGCTCAGCGGCACAGCGCCTGCCTGGCAAGCACGAGGTCGGTTCGATTCCCGGTACCAGAAAAAAAAAAAAAAGAGCCTCTAGTTTACCTATACCTACTTTGATCCTGTATTTCCTCTCTCTGGAATTGCTAATCCAATAAACATAGTGAGGTTTGTCAACCTGTCCAGGGAGTATCATGTGCAAAAGAAATTGTACCATCTGGGCATTCTGGGAGGTGCACACCTGTAATCTCAGCACGATGGGAGGCTGAGGCAGGAAGATTGCAAATTCAAGTTCCACCTGGGGGCCATGGTTATAGCTCAGCAGCGCAAGCACTTGCCTGGCAATCACAAGGTTGTGAGTTCGATTCCCGGTCCAAAAAAAAAAAAGTTCCACCTGGGCAATTTAGCAAGACCTGTCTCAAAATAAGAAATGAAAAGAGGTGGGAATGTAGCTCAGGACAAAGGCCCTGGGTTTAATACTGGAACTAAAAAAAGAAAAAGAAAGAAAGAAAAAATAAAAAATTGCTCCAGTGTTTATAGGCTGGAAACAATAGCAAACCTAGGAAATTTGAACACATAAGAGAAATTCACCCTATCTTAGACTCCTTGTCTTATCATCTTGGATAGGGACCATTCCTCAGCCTCAAACCCCAGTCCAAACACAGATGAGGCAGGCAAGGCAAGGCTAGGGAACAGGCTGAGGCAAGTATGAAATTTGTTTATGTTTATTTTTTTTTTATTTTAAAGAGAAAAAAACAAAATTGCAAAACAAAATAGGAAGGTAATAATGGTTAATACATTGCATATTATCTTTAATTTAGTTAGTCAGGACTGGGGATATATAGGTCAGTGGCATAAGTGCCTGCCTGGCAAGCACAAAGTCCTGAGTTCAATTCCTAGTACCAAACCAAAACAAAGACAAATAAATAATAAATTAGTTACTCGGAGTGCATTTAATGTCCAAACGATATTTGCACAAACTTTTTCAATGAACTAAGAAGAATTAGTAGTATAACTATCTTAACTATCATATATATGTAT